AAAAAAAACCAATAACAAAAAAGATGTTCTGTCTGTTCTAGTTTAACAGTTTTAGGATGTATTAAATTTTCTTTTAGTCTGAGCAAGTTCGATGATAAGCTTTTCCTAACAAATTTTTGCTATAAAGGTCAAGATTTTGTAAAATACCTTAGTGAATTAATTTACACAATTTTGTGCTATTTGAAGATGTGGTTTTCTTAAAATATGGGGAGAAATATAAATAAATAATAAATACCTTCTTAAGTGATCTAAAATTTCACCCTGAAAATAATTACCATGACCCCTGAAAGTAGGATGGGTGATTTAGGTTGAGTACTTTAAGCAATGAAGGTGGTAAATGAAGGAACAAAATCATGTAGACTGGTAAATAGCTGAACAATTTCTCATTGCAATTTTGAGGTCTATCAATGTGCATATATCAATATATCAAGTGTTCTAGTTGAAGTATAGAAAAACTAAGAGAAGGAATGTTTAGGAATTAATGAAATAGTACTGCAAAGAATAAGACTAAGATTTATGGTTAAAACGGTGGCAGCAGATAATTGTCTAAGAGCAGATGAAAACATTTTCTCTTTTTTGGTTAGGAAGCATTATTTCCAGAATGTTCCCATTTCTAAAACACCTTTTTCATATATATGATCTCCTCTTCTGATCTCAGTGTTAGGTGATACTGCTTAAGGTTCTGTCTTGAACCTCTCTTATCCTACTCTTCCTTGGAATCCTGGCCTGTTCTAAAGTTTGAGCTATAAATACAGAGAAAAAAAATCCTAAGTATCTTACTTCTTTACCCAGCTGCATACCTGGATATTTCTACCAGTCTGTCAACTAGGCCATAAAACAGCTAAAACAATAAACCCCATCATCTGTTCAAAATAATTCTTTTACTAACACATCCTATAATATGAACAATCCCTTAATCAACTGGATTTTCAACACTTTGGAGTTGTTTGAGTAATTCCTTATAGTCCACACACTGTAAAATCTTACTAATTCCTACTCTTTGACAATCATACTTTTTCTTTGTTCAATCAAGTTTTTCTTCTTTATTGTCATTATACATAAATCAAATCCAACTATTCTTCTTATACTTACCCATATACATACACACATATATACATATATACATATATGCATATATACATACATACATACATACATACATATATATATATGTATGCCCTATATTTCTACAATGATCCACAGTACCATTCCTCTAACTGGACTACTTCTTTTCCTAAGTTTTCTAGCTCTGTAATACCAAACTCTACCCACTTTTAACTAAGAAAGCTACTTGCTGAAACAGCTTTGGGCCATCATCCCAACTTTCCTTGTGAAGTGGAATGTGCTTGGAGATTATAAACGGCCATCTTTTCAACTATGTGATAATGATTCTCTTTATCTTTTTCCAAAGTAAGACCAAGCAATTAGAAGTAGGTATTGAATCTTACAATCTTGCTTTTCCCGATATAGAAATCAATGAATTTGTGTCAAATAACGACATCTAATCACTTTCCTTACTAATTTACATTTATATCTTGCTGTCACCATGACAAGCTAACTCAAGGAAATCATGCATCCCTTGTAATTGCTTATCACTTATGACTAAATTTAACAGATTTCCTCATGAAGACAAAACACTCCAAGAGTTTATTCATAAAGGCAAAACTCTCATAAGCAGTCTGGTTTCCTCTCTTTAGTCTTCTTTCTAGTGCTTCCTTATCTCACTGGCATGACATTTAAAAGATGGTAAAACTATTGTAATTCTTACATTATGCTTTCATAGACAAAAGCCTCTTAATGATGTTTAATTTCCTGTGATTATTGAGACAGGTTTCTAAACTAATTCTGTAGACCTAAGAAAACTAAGAATAAACACAATTTTTAAAAGGTAGTCAAAATTTAGCATCACTAAAATGCTAGTATGTGAGGATTCCACAAAAAATTGACTTCACAATAATATAACCTCATAAAGTTAATTATATAAGATATATTATTTACTGAAAAGAGCTTAAGAAGGAAGAGACTAGATATCTTTGAGCTGTCAGTATCACTCTCCTCATATTTGTAATTACTTCCACTGACTTTTCCTGAGGCTTCTGCAACTGATAAATGAGGAACACAAAACTATGATGGTACTAAAGAGACTTGAGAGTAGCTTCAATTTCAGTACATAAGTGAGGAAAACACTGGACACCTCAGAAAAGATTATCTGAATATAGACAAAGGCAATGTGGCTATTGAAAAAAAAAAAAAAAAACCTCTCAAATTATTAATTCTAACGTAAAGGAAGAAACAAAGGACAACTGGCAAGCTAATGAGGAATAGCATATTAGTTATTCATAATTTGAGTATAAAGATATTTGATAAATTGAAAATCCTAGCAGGAGAAAAAGGTTTTAGTCCTTAAAGCTGGATACAAGTATGGACCTTCATATATTCAGGCATGACTAATGAAAGCTGGCTAAAAAAGCTATTCCCAGGACTGGAAGAGATGGCTCAATAGTTAAGAGTACTTCCAACTATTCCAGAGGACCCAAGTTTGGTTCCTAGCACCCAGGTAACTTGATGGCTCACAACCACCTGTTACTCCAGCTACAGATTTGATGACCCTTTCCAGCCTCCATAGGTACCTACATACTTAGTAGTATACCCCACTCCCCAATAAAAGTAAGTCTTAAAAAGGCTACCCCCACTGATGGGCAAATTTATGCTTCAAAATATGTAGATAACATCGACATTATAAAGAGGCCATACAGGACTTATGGTCCTCTAAACTAGTGGTTCACAACCTGGAGGTTGCAACCCCAAAGTTGCATGTCAGATATTTACATTCCGATTCATATCAGTAGCAAAATTACAGTTGTGAAGTATTGGCAAAATAACTTTATGATGTGGGGGGTGGTCATCACAACATGAAAAACTGTTAAAGGGTCGAAGCATTAGGAAGGTTGAGAACCACTGTCCTAAATTGAGTGGTTTTATTTAACAACAGAATTACCTTTGCAAAATACTTATTTGGCAAATTAATTGTAAGAAAAAAAAAAGAAAATCAATCAAACAAAAACAACAACAAAATACACATTACAAACCCCCAAATTTACAATAGTCCAAAATAAGGCTATTTGGTGAGATCCAAAAAGTTATAATTAACCTATCCACTATGAATAAATAGAACCACAATACTTTCTCAGTGTCAGTTAACAAGTCTATAGGTATTTGCCAAATAAAGTTGTATAAACCTTCTGTTAGAACTAATAAAGCCAGTAACTTCTCACTTTGTCTTGTATGTGTGTGTGTGAGCTCTCGTGAACGCTTAAGAGCAGACCAGAGGTCAACATCAAGTGTCTTACTCTATTATTTCCCTCATCTTAGTTATCAAGGCAAGGCCTCTCATTGATTCTGGACCTTGCTGATTGGCTAGACTTGTTAGACCAGCAGGCCAGTGAGATCCTGGGATTGTCTTGTGTCTGGACTGCCACATCTGATTTTCTTTTTTACATGGGTTATAAGTTCACGTCTACTGTCTTTTTCCCAGCCCAGAAATATATTTTTAAACCATGAGGAACTATTTCGATACAGAACCTGCCTCATTTCTGAGATGCTAAAAGTATCTGGTATCTACTAAAAAAGAACAAGTATTCACCACCAACAACAAATTATGAGCAAGTAACTCCTATGGTTGTCTGACAATGAAACTAAATAACCATTAGATCAAAATTATACAATTTATTAATGAAACCATATCATTCATACTGACATCATAGCTATGACAGCTAGATAATACAAATAATTAAACTGCATTTAAAGCTACGTATCATATTAAAATAGAGTACTATATTTTCTTTATATTCAGGAAAACTATAAGGCATACCTCAAATACTGTTTGAAGGATTAAAACTTCATGTGTTTCATACTATAATATACTTTTGTATTTCTTTATAATACCTTATATTGTTAGAGCAAAACTAATTAAAATTTGATTATAAGCACAGTATTACAAATTTTAGAATTTCCTGTTCAAAAACTGTTTAAAATGATTTTTGGTTAAGTTAGGAACAAACCATCTAAAATATATAAAGCATTAGAAAATATCTTCAGAGTTATACACACAAACAAATCAAGTCTAAAAATTAAAAGTTTTACTACTTACTACTAAGGCAATGCAGACCATGTCTTAATATGACATGTACATGCACTTAGCAACTCTCTTTTCTAATGAAAGAGGTAGAGTTGAGTCTATGAGTGTTATCCAAAAATATGCCACATGACACAAATGCGTTGCCAGGCAGAGTTAAAAGAATCTAACAAGCTTTGTGGAAATTTAAAAAACACTGTGCTCAACTCTTATTAAACACAGAATGATGGATTGCTAATAAATATTCAGCCAAATAACTGAACAAAGCATATACTATTTAAAAATGTGTGTTAAGCAGAAAGATAAACCAAAGTATCTTTTGCCAAAAGTGAAATCAAGGAGTTTTTGTTTTGTTTTGTTTTTAGTGAAAAATAAGACCTAAACAGTATCTGTGAAAAAGCAACCTGTTTGGGGGCCTTACAATTATACAGATATATGAAATTCTAGCAAGTAAATGTGGTGACAATTTCTTGTCGAAATTAATGACAATTTTGTTACTCAGGTCTTGTCTCTCATCCAGTTTTTTTTTTAAATGGCATTTGTTTGTTATAAATCCTATAAAACAACACAAAAATTAAGACTGATTAATAGAAAAAATGTTTTGTATTAAAAAATATATATATATTAAGCAAGTGACTATTTCAAAGCAATATGTAAATCTTTAAAAATATAGCTAAAACATGCACAGAATGCAGTAAAATAAAAAGCACATTTATAGTCTATAGAAAATATTCTTTTTGGTTTATTTTGCTGCTTTGTCCCATGCTAGATACCATGTGATTCCCCCTTTAACAAAATCAGTTTTATGCAAAGCAATTCATGCATACACTTTTCTATGTATGCATTCCATATCAAGTAATCATACCTATCCCAGAGGCTCTTTGATTCCTGAAACGTGTTCAAATGGAACGCTTGGTAGAAAGCAGTTGAAGGATTCCTGTGAGATCCAAGAATCAAATGGAAATGAAGTTGAGAATGTACAGTATATTCATTTCTTACGAAAATGGAAGACTTTAGAGTCTCATACAGTGTAACCACTTAAATTTGAAAAAGGAAAAAGAAAATGTTGAGATTGTTTAAAACAATACTTTGCAAGAAATTATAAAACACACAAAATTCAAAACCTATAGTATTTCGGATTAAAGTTCTAAAAGAAAGAATAAATAACCAATAAAGTTATATACTAGCATTCAATTATGTGCACATATGCATAAATGTAACCAGTTCAGAGACTATCAACACCACGTTGTATAAGGTGCCTTAATCATCATCTATGGTTCTGGCTGTACACTAAGCTATAGCTTTCTAGGATTTGTTAAAAGTGAGAGGGGTTAATGATGAGTAATGAAGATTGGTTGGACACTATACATTTCTTTTTTAAGTTCATTTGTGTGTAGTTTCCCTGGTCTATTGTGTGTGTGTGGGGGTATGTGGGGTGGGGAACAATGCAATTGTATGGAAGCATTCTAATTTCTTTCATGAGTATAATGCCTCTTTAAAGGGGGAAAAAACCTATTAACTGTATTATTCATTCCTACTATCCCCAGGGACACATTCTCTAGGGCAAACACCACAGAACTGTAACTGACAAGCTCATGTAGACCAACTTCAGTATGTCAGGCCAACAATTGACCCTGTATGTCAGGAACGATTTCTTATGGAACTAAGCTTTCGACTAACCTGGTTCCTAACAGTTTTCACTCATTAAGTATAATTCTAATGTCTTCCTTACCATCCACCTGTACTTTAGGGGAGTTAACATGTACCTGTCACATCATTTTAAAAATCCTTGACTCAGGGCTATAGAAGATGGCTCAGTGATTGAGAGCACGCCTATTCTTGCTGAGGACCCAAGTTTAGTACCTAGTACCCACTCATAACTGTCTAGGAATCCAACTCCATAGAATCTGATGTCAAATCAATCATCCACTCACTCACTCAATCGTTCTTCTCTGAGGCCACAAGGAAAAACAAAACAACCTATTCTTTGATTCAACTATGGCATAAGAACAGCAGCAAAGAACATACTATATACCCGAGGTTATTCAAACTGCTTTATATTTATTGACTCGATCTCCGTAACAGCCCTACCTAAAAGGGATAAGGGGTAACTTCCCAATGTCAGAGTAGATGGCCTAATTGATGCTTTTAAACCACTATACTAAACATACCAGAGTTAGCCGGGTGGTGGTGGCACAAGTCTTTAGTCCCAGCACTTGGGAAGCAGAGACAGGAGGATCTCTGTAGCCTGGTCTACAGGAACTAGTTCCAGGACAGCCTCCAAAGCCACAGAGAAATCCTGTCTCAAAAAAAACAAAAAAAGGGGTGGGGGTGGGGGTTAAAACCTGACTGCTCTAGCTCTCTCTTCCTTTAAATAAGTTACTAAATAGTTAAACGTTATGATTAAATACAATAGTTTTATTTAGCCTTGTCCAATAGTTGAAAACCTGTGACTATATCTAAATCTTTTGGGTATAGTCAATGCTAATTGCTATTATGGTGTTAAGCAATAATTTTCAGATGCTTTTCTGAAACCTTAGTAGATGCCTTAGGAAAGAATGCTGAATTAAAGCACAGAAAGAAAACTGTTTCTGGGGCTGGAGAGATGAATAGCTCAGCAGTTAAGAACACTTCTTGCGGGAAGTGGAGTGGTGGGGGTGGTGTGTGCCTTTAATCCCAGCACTTGGGAGCCAGAGATAGGAGGATCTCTGAGTTCAAGGACAGCCTGGTCTACAGAGGGAGTTAACAGAGAAACCCTGTTTCAAAAAAAGAAAAAAAAAAAAAAAGAAAGAAAGAAAGAAAGAAAGAAAGAAAGAAAGAAAGAAGAATACTTCTTGCTCTTCAGAATCAGAACACTCAGATTCAGTTCCTAGCACAGATGGCAGATAAACAACTCACTGTAACTTCAGCTCCAGGAGATCCCTCTTGTGGCCTCCACCAGCACTGGCAGACACACAGTATACATTCACATAAACGAACACATATACATATGAGTGAAAAAAACAAACAGACAAACAAAAACTGGGGCTGGAGAAATGGCTCAGAGGTTAAGAGCACTGGCAACTCTTCCAGAGACCCTGAGTTCAATTCCCAGCAACCACATGGTGTCTCACAACCATCTATAATGAGGTTTGGTGCCCTCTTCTGGTGTGTAGGCATATATGCCAGAACACTGTATACATAAAAAATAAATATAAAAAAAGAATTAAAAAAAACCTTAGAACTATTTACAAAGCTGACTGCAATAGTAATCAAATATCAACAACCATCAGATTAAGAACAACAGAATCATGACTTCAAAACCTGAATTGAGTCAAGCTGAGCTGTATGCACAACTATTTTTTATACAGCACTTTAGATTTTAAGCAGTAATACCACTTTTTATTTATCTTTTATTTTATTTATTTATTTATTTTTTTTAGTAGATACCACTTTTGATAAACTAGGAAAGGCATAGACACTGGATAACAGGGAATCACCAAAGTAGCTGTTGGATTAATTGGGATTTTTAACCATGTATAGTTTTTACCACTTTCCTTACTCTATTTCCTTTCTATTCTTTGAACCCTTTTTACTTAACTAGGTCTAAGGCAATCAAAAGTACAGATTAGATATGCCAACAACAAGTTTAAGAGGATTCTAACATCTTCTAACTTTTGTTAGGCTACCTTTTTTTTCACTGTACTTCAAAATCAAGTCAGCCAAGTAAGATAAAAGGCAAATAAACTGAAAACATAATTTGGCTCCTCCCACCACCAACTAAATCAGGTCTTCCCAGGACCATATGAGAATTGGATTGCTATTCCTTATATTGTTTAGAAACTTCAACGTAAATGGAATGACTCAGAGAAACCAGAAGGAGGAGACTAATGGAGTAAACTTTGAAGTTAGTACCCAGTTTGGAATTACAAGTTTTTTTTTATAAATTTTTATAAATTACAATTTTTTTAATTTAATATTTTCAGAGGGATGACATTTTAAAAAAGAACTTCAGGTATTTTGGCTTTGGAAATATCTATATTTAATTTGAAGCAAATTTATCTGCTAAGCAAATTGTCTTCAAATAAAGTCCTATGTTATGAAATGCCATCATTTTTCAATGTAATGATACAATATTTCTTATAAATCAAATACAAAATAAAAATTATTTACCATTAATAGTAAACCTCAGGGTATGAAAAGGAAAGGATACAATTTATTCAGTGGTTTTGAAAAATGTCTACAAACAAGAAAACAGCATTTTTATTTAGATTGCAATAAGTTCAATATAAATTACATCTTGTTCTTCTAAGAATTGCTTTACTTAGAGTAGTAGTTTATATTCACTTCAAATGAGTTGTTAGGAAATGGGTTTCAAATGTAATTTCTTGCAGAAAAGAATATATGGTCAAAATGCACAAAAGTTAATATGTCAGTTACAATTTTGTGCTATCAAGTTTCATTTGGCATTGAAATGATCTTATTACAGAGCTTTCCTTGGGACCTTAGTACCCTCAATTTTTTTATGTAATTCTAAGTTAATTGTGCCCACTGATATTTACAAATGGCCGTTTCTTTCTCTATTCCCTGTCTTCATATACCAGTTTGTCACAATTTCCCAGTACATGAAGACAGCATACCAGAAAGTGACAAACACATATAGCACATATCCACTTGCTTTAGCAAGGCATTCTATTTGTAGTGTAACTATAGTAGAGAGAAGAAACACACATGCATATACTACATCTCAAAATTGGTGAATTTAAAGGGAAAGGTATGTGAGTTTCAACAAAAGCCTCTTTCCTATAGGTCAAAATTCAACTTTTAAGATTTAAATAAGAATCAGACAAATAAAATATCAACAAGGGTCATTCCAAATTTATGTGTGGATTTTGAGTATTTGTAAGTATCCTTCAGGTAAATGGTCACAACATAACCTATCAGTGGTTACAGTAATTTTCCTTTCTTCCCACATCATTCATTGTTTGCTAAGTAACAAAGCAAATGAGTACTGGCTTTGGAGTGGTAGACCTAAGGGTTTATGTTCTGTCATGTTTCCTTAATCCATAAGAAAATAAAATACTTGGTTACATGTTGCTGAAAAGGTCAAATGAGATTATGTTTATATAGGGTTTGACACAATTAACCTTAATTTCATGTTGCACAAAATCCAACTTTTAATAGAGAATCTTTTTGTTTTTTTCCCCAGTTTTCCGAGACAGGGTTTCTCTGTGTAGCTTTGGAGCCTTATTCTGGCATTCGCTCTGTAGACCAGGCTGGCCTCGAACTCAGAGATCCGACTGCCTCTGCCTCCCTAGTGCTGGGATTAAAGGCGTGTGCCACCAACACCCGACCTAGTAGAGAATCTTAACATGCATCAAGTATCTCATTGCCATCACGGTAATGTTGAAGCAAAGGGAATACTTAAATTTTGAGTAGGTGTACCACTCCACTTAGTACATTCTACCAGAAAAAAGAAAAAAAAAAAAAAAAAAACCCAAAACAATTCTGACTTTTGGGCCTCAGTCCACCCCCCATTCAAAACACAATTTTATCACATTTGAATAATTACTGAAATGAAAGGAGGAACACTACTTTAGAAATATAAACTTTAAGAAATGCTTTTAAGTAGCAACTATAATGTTAATGTAAGAATCTAAATTTATTGTTGTATTAAGCTCTTCACTGTTTCCTGTAAAGTTAATGAAATAATTTCCCAAGTACAACAGTCTCATTCTTCAATTTCATTCACAAGCTGTCACTTCTTTTAGCTTAGCAAGTCATTGCTCTTATCAGTGATCTAATGTGAATGGCCCTTTTAATTAAAACTCAGTTCAAAAGTCAGCCTCAGAAGAATGTACAAATAACAGGTTGATTCTGAAGATAGGAACTGGGTGGCTGGAGAAGAGAGGTAAGAAGTTTTCAATTTATTCTGGTTTGGATATTTTAAGTTATAAA